CGGCAAGGCTGTATATTGTCCCCCAGCTTATTTAACTTATATGCAGAATACATCATGGGGAAGGCTGGACTGGAGGAATCCCAAGCCGGAATCAAGATTGCCTAAGAAATATCGACAACCTCCGATATGCAGATGATACCACTCTGATGGGGGAAAGTGAGTAGGAACTAAAGAACCTTGTAATGAGGGTGAAAGAGGAGAGTGCAAAAAACGGTCTGAAACTCAACATCAAAAAAACTAAGATCATGGCCACTGGTCCCATCACCTCCTGGGAAATAGAAGGGGAAGATATGGAGGCAGTGACAGATTTTACTTTCTTGGGCTCCATGATCACTGCAGATGGAGACAGCAGCCCCGAAATTAAAAGACGCCTGCTTCTTGGGAGGAAAGCAATGACAAACCTTGACAGCATCTTAAAAAGCAGAGACATCACCTTGCCAACAAAAGTCCGAATAGTCAAAGCTATGGTTTTTCCTGTAGTGTTGTATGGAAGTGAGAGCTGGATCATAAAGAAAGCTGACCGCCGAAGAATTGATGCCTTTGAATTGTGGTGCTGGAGGAGACTCTTGAGAGTTCCCTGGACTGCAAAGAGAACAAACCTATCAATTCTAAAGGAAATCAACCCCGAGTGCTCATTGGAAGGACAGATCCTGAAGCTGAGGCTCCAGTACTTTGGCCATCTCATGAGAAGAGAAGACTCCTTGGAAAAGACTTTGATGTTGGGAAAGTGTGAAGGCAAGAGGAGAAGGGGACGACCGAGGATGAGATGGTTGGACAGTGTCATCGAAGCAACCAACATGAATTTGACACAACTCCGGGAGGCGGTGGAAGATAGGAGGGCCTGGCGTGCTCTGGTCCATGGGGTCACGAAGAGTCGGACACGACTAAACGACTGAACACACAAATATTTAATTAGGTGTGAAATGCTGCATAATCAACTACTTGTGCCCAAGAAACAGTCTCTTTGTTTTGGAGCCATGTATAATTGTATACAATATTTGCCATGTAGTCCGACTCTTAGGTCTGAGGAAGTGGACTTGTCCAGAAAAGCTCACATTAAAATGCAGCACTTAATTTTTAAGATACCACATTTTTGTCTTTATTTTTTTCTTGTTTTTGCCAGATATGCTAGCACAGAGTAACAGTTACCTCTTCTAAAACTCCTTATTCTATTGATTGTTTTTATATTTGAAAACCACCCAATGGTCACATATTAATAAATACAGAAAAAAGTACATTCTAAAATTTTTGCAATGCCTCAGGCAACATGTTACCATGTCGGCTTTTCTTGCAATTGCTGCTGGTAGGTGATTCATAGTCTGTATTTCTGGTGAGAAGATCTTGTGCTGCTTGCCACTTCGCCACTACTAATCCTCAGAAAGACGTGTCACTCTTTTCAAGACGTAGCTGTGCCTACAATACACCAGGTACAGAACTATCGGCTGAAGAGTCGGAAACCTCTGGAGCAGGGGGCCCTTGTTTCCAAATAACTGGACTACGGTGCAACCAGGAGACGGAAAGAGCGCACGGGGCAGGCAAGAGGAGAAGGGCGGCTGCTCCTTCTTCCCTGCTTTCTGCCAGGGAGAGGCAATATATTGGGGAGTGAGCTGACTTCTCAACATGGGGAAGAGGAAGGAAGGGAAAGGAAAAGAAGAGGAGGGCCAGCGGGAGGAGTCCCCTGCCGCAGAGGTCTCTTCCCCGAGGGCAGCCCCCATTCTCCTTCATCATCATTATCATCCGACTCTCAGCTGTTGTTACTCTGCTGGTGGGTGCGAACGTTCACACGCACCCGCTCCTGCGCCCCCCGCTGCAAGCCCGTCCAGGGGGCCTCTCTTCCGCCGGCAGAGGACGCGCCCGCTCCCTGTTGAAGGAAGGAGAAGAAAGGGCCGCCGCTTCCGGCAACACGGACCAAGGCAAATGCCCCGAGTAGGGGCCGAGGCCCTGTCCGGCGGCCAAGCTCCCGCTTCCGGTCCAGGCAGGCCCCGCGGGAGGCCCTGCCCACCTGCGCTTCCGGTGCAGCGCCGAGAACTTGGCGAGCGTCTGAGGAACTACAACGCCCACAAGCCACTGCGAGCCGCCCGCCTCTGGGCCCGCGGAAGCCGGGGCCGATGCCGGCGGCTTGATTGTGATCGGGAAGGGAAGGGCAATCCTCCCAAGCTTCAGCTCCGCGGCCCGGGAGGACACGACGCGGCCTTCGGGTGGGTCTGGCTTTCGAAGCCTGTCTGGCGGCGTGGCTGAGGGACGCGGCCGGGGGTGAGGGTGGGGCCGTCTTCCCACGGTGCGGAGAAAGGCGACGCGGGGAGGGGGGGTAGCTTTCGTACCCGGCTGCCTTCCGGGTCGGGCCGCGGTGGCTACCCGGCTGACCCGGCGGCAGCGCCCGAGGAGTTGGCCGTACTCTTCGTTGGGCGCCTGCCCGCTCTCCCTCCTTCCCTCCCTCCCGGGCCTGGCCTTTTCTGGGGTGGCGGAGCGCTTGGGACGCGCGGGTGGGGAGCCGGCTTCTTGTGGGGCAAGAGAGGAGCGTTCAGTCATACGAGCCCCTGAGGACGATAGCCTGAGGACACGCTGTGCTAAAACAAAAGCTTTCTCCTTTTCACCACGTTTTTTGGGAGGGAGGGGCCTTGTTCGATATGCTTAGGCGTGGTTCGAAACTGGAATGTCCAACCATAAAGATTTTTTTTAAAACTATAGGGGCAAAGCTTTTATCCATGTAAAGCATTTTCTCAATGCCTCCTCTCCTGTTTTGTTCCCATTTGGATTTGATGCAGTGGTGAGAATCGCTGCATTGTGCTCTGCGAACTGCACACGTGTGTGTGCTTCCGCTGGCAAGTTTGTCTTCCTGTGATGAGAACACACAAAATGTTAACATGGGCAGGTGCTTTGCCATCGCTGTCCTTTTCTGCCAAGCATCCCCTGAAGCTGCTCTTACCTGCTGAGGTTCTTCTTCATAAAACCGGCTTGTCCTATTCAGTATCCTGGCTGTGGATTTTCCTCCTTTTCCTTTTTAGCATACCCTCTCGAAGCTATTGTTTCTATGATTGCAGATGTTTTTTCTAGTGTCTAATTGCAGTGTGGTAATCAGCGCAAGATATCTGTCATCCCAGTAAATAAGAAAATCGGTACATTTCTACCCTGTACATTTCTACAGATGTGACTGATGTTTTTTTAAACTTTTTTATCCTTTAAAGGACTCTTGGAAATCTACAATGTTTGGGAACTTGTTTGATGAAGACTTTTTCATGTTGCCAGACAGTCCATGTAAACAGCCCAAGTCCAAACTCAAAGATGCTGAACCACCATTTCCTAGAGAAAGCACCCATTTAAGTGGAATAAAAAACCAGGGTGGAACCTGCTACCTTAATTCACTTCTTCAGACCCTGCTGCTCACACCTGAATTTAGAGGTACAGTATTTTAAAGTTATAATGTTAAAAAATATCTGTTTCTAAATGTTGGATTGTTCACACAAAGTAGTTGAGCTTTACCTTATCAGTTATTAGACCCAGGAAGAAATATAGAAAAACCTGTTTCAAAATGTGTTTTCTGTATTGTTTACCTTTTGGAATGCAAAAAACAAAAAGAATAAGACCCAACAACTGTATAGTTTGGAAATACTTATTTCAGTCTGATTGTGTTTGCATGACATAACAAGTTACAAATCCTGGGTTTTCATAAACAGTCAGCATGCTAGGGCCTGCTGTTGGTTTGTTCCTACTTGCAGCAGGAGCAGATAAAAAATCCAAGAAAGTTCACTTGATGATTTGTTTAATGTGCCATGCAAATACTGGCAGCTACCAACTTCTAGTTTGTTTCTTGAGAAAGCATAGAAATTAAAAGGGTGTTCAGCTAGCCACCCAAAAACTAAAATGTCAAAGGTTGTAATGGCTATAGAAGGAGAAGGTTAAAGAGCCATTTGCTTAAGGTTTTCTTAAAGATAACAGGAGTGGCAGCATTTATAAGCGTGATGAAGTGGAAGGAGACACATAATTTGAATTCACAGGAGGGTTTGGAACTAGAGGAATGCTATTCCGCATGGAGAGAGATGTGTAGTAGAACAGTGTGTATCAGTACACTACCTGTTCATGAAACACCAGTACAGTGGTGCCTCGCTTAACGAGCGCACTGTACAACGACGAAATCGCATAGCGATCCCTTTTTTGGGATCGCTAATGCGATCGCTCAATGAGCTTTAGATAGGGCGAAATTCGCTTTGCGAAGATCGGTAAGCGTTTCGCTTACTGATCTTCGCAAAACGAAGCCCCGACGATCAGCTGTTCAGCGGACAAAATGGCCGCTGGAAGCCCCAAAATGGCCGCGCGCAGCGGTTTCGCGCCCTCCCCTCGCTTAACGAGGGCGCGAAAATGGCTGCCGGCCATAGGAAACTACGCTGAACGGTGAGTAAAGGAGCCTTTTGGAACGCATTAAACGATGTTTAATGTGTTCCAATGGCTTTCCCTGTCCCGTTCAGCGATGTTTCGCTAGAGCGAAGGTTAATCCGGAACGGATTAACCTCGCTATGCGAGGCACCACTGTATTCCCACAGAACGTGGCTTCTTGTGTTGTGTGAGTACATCTTATATAACAACATAATCTTAGAATTGCAGAGTTGGAAGAGACCCTATATGTGCATTTGTAGCTTAAGATCTTGGCTAGGATATGTAGATTGCAAACAGGCACTTCACATTTCTAGATAGCAACAAATATGCTTTATGAAACCTCAAAATATCTGTCACTCTCAGTATTCCCTCCTGTGTGTAATATTATGGTTTGAATTATGGGTAATTCTTGGTGTTACAATGTCACAAATCAGAGAAAACATGGTATCCAAAACATTGTTGCAAAATGTGTATTTCCTAATTTGAGTATTAAATGTTTCTTCTACTAATGTGAGTTATTTATTTTTTAATGTAAATAAGTCTGTACTGGTGATACTTAGGGAGAAAGTATTATTTGTTCTCTTTGTCTTTACAGAAGCACTGTTTTCCATAGGCCCTGAAGAACTTGGTTCTTTGGATGACAACAGTAATCCAGAATCAAAGGTGTTGAGGTCTATTTGCAATATTCTCCATTTATTTAGTCATTTCATAATGAATAAGAATGTTTTATCATGTAAAGCAGGGAACATGTTTTTTCTTCATTTGAGCCACAGAATAAAATGGTTCCATTAGAGATTTTGGTGCAGTGTTCTCAGCATGGCTTAAAACCTCTTCTGGGCATCGAAAGGATCTGCAATGGTGAAATCAAATTTACCTCTTCAGACTTATTAGTGTTATAACAAGGGTGATTAAAGGTTATGATAAGGGTCATTAAATTTTAAGGTCATTGCTAGAGATGCAGCTGCTCTGTGAAGTAGTTAGTTTCTTAAAATGCGGACTGCTGATGTTATTTATAGGTAATACTGTAAACTAATTTGCAATACAGAAGACAGAGTGCCTAGGGATGAAGAGAACAAGGGATGAAGCTAGGAGGGCTGAGAAGCTGTTAGTGGACAGATGACAGATCAGGGTAGATATTTGGATAGTTAGAGGCAGAGCATTCCAAAAGAGCTTGGAAGGAAAAGGGTTTGTAAGCTGCCAGTGCATGTTGTAGTTGCTGCCATTGCAGCTGGTTTCCACACCACTATGAAATATTCCTGTTAGTGGATTGTAGCAGCATGTGCACAGTGGTGCCCCGCAAGACGGGCGCTCCGTTTGACGACGAAATCGCTTGACGTTGATGTTTTTGTGATCGCAAAACGATGTTCCCTATGGGGGAATTTTGCTTTGTGATGATCGGTTCCCTGTTTTGGGAACCGATCATCGCAAAGCAATGATTTTTTAACAGCTGATCGGCGGTTTCAAAATGGCCACCGGGTAAACAAAGTGGCCGCCCGCTGTGTTTTCGCATGGATTCCTCGCTGCACAGGCAGTGAAAATGGCTGCGCTATGGAGGAACTTCGCTGGACGGTGAGTTTCAAGCCCCTAGGAACGCATTAATGTGGTTTTAATGCATTTCTATGGGCTTTTTAAAGTCGCATTACGACGTTTTCGTTCTACAGCGATTTTGCTGGAACGAATTAACGTCATAATCTGAGGCACCACTGTACTTCCATACAATGGTGGTAGCATGTGGAGAACTGCTGCATGAAACAACTCTTACGGTAGATGTGATTTTAAATGGCATCCAAACAAAGATCATTGTATGTAGAAGCATATCTGAGGTGAGGTGATGGGCAGCTATGGGGGCACACCCCATTATACGTATAGTATGCTCAGCTAAGAGAAAAATGATATTGACAATACAGTGAGAAAGAAGGGCTCTGTGTGTTTTTCTCAAATGAATATCAATCCATTTTAAGATGAGGCGTTCATGATGTCAGTCTAGGAAAAAGCATTTGTCAGGATGTTGCATAGTGTTTCCCCCTGATGTAGTATAAACTTTTTGTTTGGTAGACGTTTTTGGCATTAAAGCTTTCTAGAGGTTTTAATATAAAATGGTAAAGGATTGTGTTGTTCTTTCAGGCTTCCAATTTATTCTCAGTGTTTGGAGGTCACACTCTAAGGTTGTAATCCTTTAGTCTTTGGAAGAAAGAAAAACTTGAATGCAAATTTTATATAAATCAAAGGAACTAATTTGAAGAAACGGGGAAGGAAGCATCAGCCTTTGGGGTTGGAGACAATTTCCTTAAATCTAGTTTTGCTTTGATATGCCTTGTCACAACTAGTAAAGACTAGCTGTTTATGGGCTGAAGGGCAGATGGAATCTCTATTTGGCTTCTTCCCCTGAACATGAACAATTGATGTCTGTGAAGGGATTCTCTTATTAATAGCCTTCTAGTTGTGGGTAACAGGAAGTATGTGTATGTTGCAAAGAGAGGACCAGGAGTCTTCCCTGATTTCTATTTTTAAGAAGCTCAATGATATTAAAATAAGTTTGGTAAAAAAAATTTAGAGCTATTTCCACAGAGATTACTCGTGTAAACATGGAGTCTTATGTGTCTTTACACTGTGTTTTTCACTACTTACGATAAAAAGAGCTAATTGATTTGTTGCACATTTGAGTGAGCAAGAAATTAGTTGGCTATAAAATATGGACTAAAAAACTGTAGTTCACCAATGGATGATCCATTTAGTGCAAACTTCAGTCTGCCTTGAAGAGGTGAACTATGCATAGTACTCTCTCAATAAAATTAATGTGAATTTAAAGTGCTTTATTTTTGCTGATCCATATTGTATGTTTCTGGGAGCAACTTCGATATTAATAAGAAAGCTTTTTATATTTAATGTAGCATCTTCACATATATGGTCATTTTGTTCAGGTTCGAATAATTCCTTTGCAACTTCAGCGGTTATTTGCCCAGCTCTTGCTCTTAGATCAACACGCAGCGTCCACAACAGAGCTCACTGAAAGTTTTGGATGGAACAGTCATGAGGTACAATATAGTATTTATTGCTACTATTTCTACTATTGCTCACAAGGCTTTTCTTTCTTTCCATTTTTCAGAAAAAGAAAATTGTGCAACTAGTGTGCTTAATACAATAGAGTCATCTATTGTATCAAATATTGTTGTTTGGAACTCTAGATGTACATAATGATTTTTGTTAGAGAGTTGTTTGTGTGGTTTAAAATAAGTGTGAAATCCTACATTTCCTGTAAACATACCGTTAGCAGCTTTCTCAGTAGGTTATACAATTTCTCAAAAAAGGATTGAGGAACCTTTTTCTGTCTTGTGTGATGCTGCTACAGTCAGAGCTAATTTTATAGTTTCACTTCTTACTGTTGGAGCAAACACCTGGCCATAATGTTCAAATTTCCTTTGTGTGTGAACCCCTGTGCCACCAATCTGGCCTTGTATCTCAAATCTCCTGCAACAGAGGATTTTTGTTTAAAAACCCACTTACATCCTATTGTTTTTTGATTCTCTGGTTGCTTCACTGGGGTAAAAATCTAATGTTCATACATTGCTTTCATTTTTCCCTCTATGGCATCTTGCCATTTACACGTTCTGCAAGAGGTAATTTCAAGACCTCTTCATAACTTTATGGCTCACAATATACATGGCATAGTTTAACTTCACCTACAGTGAAGCATTCTGGAGGAATACCCTTGTTAGGTCTAGAAAAGGGGTGCAAGAAGCCTAGTCCCACACTTTCACTGGTTTGACCCCCTCCTTGCTATTCTTGCACCAGCAGGCAGAAACATTCCTTTTTAAGTACTGTAGAAGTTTGGCATTTAAATGTGGATATTTTATGGGATGGTGGGTGGAAGCCGATGTACTTTAAAATTTAAATGTTTTAGTAATGTTTTAATAGGTTTTATACTTGTTTTATTATTCAAATTTTAATATTTTATCTGTCGTATTTTATACACTTAAAAATGTTTTAAACTGCCTTGAGTACTTTCTATAGAAAGAAGTGATATATAATTAGATTCATAAAAATATAAATAAAATAAAATCTCCAGAAGGTGGACCGTAGTTACCTGAGAGGCTTAAGGATGTTCCTAATTGTTTTTCTGCATATATGGCCCTAAGCTCCTTACATGACTGTCCTGCAAAATGTCTTGTCATTTGCTTATAATTTTAGATGCTTTGAAGTTATTTTAAATCAAATGTAGTCCCATGTTTTGTTTCTCTTATTTTTCCTTCAGGAAATGAGACAACATGATGTCCAGGAGTTAAATCGGATTCTATTCAGTGCCTTAGAAACCTCTCTTGTGGGGACCTCTGGCCATAATCTTATAAATGAGCTATACCATGGGACAGTTGTTAATCATATTATCTGTAAAGAATGCAAGAATGTCAGTGAGAAGCAGGTAAATCTCTATGGAAGTTCCAGAACTTGTTTCCTCTGGGAACAGACTGTGAAGTAAGCAATGACTAGTTTATATGCAAATAGCTGTCCGCAAAAGTTTTTCAAATATCTGCTTAAACATTATCCAGATAGTTACTCTGTTAGATGAGGCTTTCATATTTTTGGAAATTGTTACAAAGAATATAAACTAATTTATGTCTGAAGTTGTATTTAAATTAAAATGCAATGGCTGAAATCCTACACATGCATAATTTACACACATGGTAGTTCCAATTATGCCAAGGCAGAAGTGTTGTTCACAACGCACATCTACATGTGAAATGTGCAGTTGGTTGTTGCTGGGTCCTAACACCCAATACATTTATGCAGGTGTAATGTTGCATTTTGTCAGGATAAACAGGATTCTGTCTCATTTAGTAGTTGCATGAGAAAGCTTTTCTGCTTCTAGTTTGGGAAGATATGATGACCGATTTAGAAGTTATTCTGGGCTAGCCTAGATTTTCTCATTTGGTTTCACAATTCTGACTATTTTCCTTTATGGCTCAGCTATTGAAATGGGACTTGCTGTGGTTGATAAAATAGACATCACAAATTTGCTGTTTGTGATTTTAAAAAAAATTATCAGAATTGACCACCTCATTCTGACTATTCAAGCTTTGATATTCAGTTGACACCTGCTCGTTTGGGTGTTGGATTTGTGTCAGTGGGCTTTGAAGACTGATGAAGTCATAAAACACCTGTCTTTGGAAGAGTGAGAAAAATTAAGTACAGCTGTGAACATAATCATATTTATAGCTTTTTCTCTCAATACATAATATGTATATATTTATGGTATATATAAGGTAAAGGTTCCCCTAGACATTTAGTCCAGTTGTGTCCGACTCTACGGGACGGTGCCATAGAATTTTTCCATGCCTTAGAGCCAGCGTTTGTCCAAAGAGTTTCTGTGATCACGTGGCCAGCGTGACTAAACACGGAACACTGTTACCTTCCCACCGAGGTGGTACCTATTTATCTATTTGCATTTGCATGCTTTCGAACTGCTAGGTTAGCAGGAGCTGGGACAAGTGATGGGAGCTCACTCTGTTGCGTGGATTTGATCTTATGACTGCTGGTCTTCCGACCTTGCAGCTCAGAGGCTTCTGCGGTTTAACCCGCAGCGCCACCATGTCCCACGTATTATATATACATATCATATAGTGCACATATAATATACAAATAATATATATACAGTGGTGCCCCGCATAATGGGCGCCCCATTTAACGACGAATCCGCATAGCGATGGTAAAACATCACTTCGCGATGATTGGTAAGCTGTTTCACTTACCGATTTTTGCATAGCAATGTTTTTTCTAACAGCTGATTGGCAGTTCCAAAATGGCCGCCGGGTAAAAAAATGGCCGCCCGCAGTGTTTCTGCGCCCTTTCCTCGCTTACCAGGCAGCGAAAATGGCGGCCGTATGGAGGATTTTCGCATAACAGTGAGTTTTTTGCCCATAGGAACGCATTAAACGTGTTTTAATGCATTCCTGTGGGCTTTTTTGTTCTGCATAGCGACGAATCCATATAGCGACAATTTTTTCGGAATGGATTATCGTCGCTATGTGGGGCACCACTGTATATACACACATATACACATATAATACAGTATAGTATATTATATATAATATAATTTGGCACATATTTTGGCATAAGTATCTCATAATTAATGTTTCTATTAGAGAATTTGCTTAATTCCTTTTACAGTTAGTAGAATATCGAGTACAAATAAAAACTATACAGAGAAAGCATGAAAGAAAAGCTTAAATCTCAGTAGTCCATCCCTTTTCACAGTGACTTGCACTTTACATGTTAAAAATCACCCTGGAAGTATTTTAAAATAGAAAAAAGGTTTATTTACATTTGCAGTCTCTAATTACAGTCAGAAAAAAAATAGCAAAAATGGGACTCCACACATGGAAGAGACATTCTCCACGCTTGGTACCTGCTCAGAGGTCAGGAAAGGAGAGAGAGAGAGACTAACAAAGGAAGCAAAACAAACAAGCAGGAATATAGAAGGAGCACCAAAGTTGGGAAAAGACCTTCAGCATTAGGTTAGTGGGAGAAGACGATCATCTTTGATTGTCGAGAGCTTCTCTCACTGATAGCAGTGTTAGTGCATGCAGGATTGTTATTATCTCAATAACTTCGGCTATCATATTCCTACTCAGTCAGCTGACGGGTGAACAAGCCTTCAGTGGCACATGAAATCCCTTTATGTGAGGAAGCAAACAAATGAGAAATCTTCAATTAAGTTTTAGATTCCATTTCCCCCCTAACAAATAGGGATTATTGTACTTAATGGTTTTGGAACATTTCAGAGTATTAAACTATGATCAAACCATGGTTTAACATTTTGGCTTTTTCCTAAACTGTTAACCATAGATGCCATCTGGATCCTTTTTAACGTCAACATTGTTTTTACTGAATCGTATATTCTGTGATGTCTTCAAATGTTATGCTCCTAATACTTTGTAGGAAGATTTCTTGGATCTAACAGTTGCTGTCAAGGGTATATCTGGCTTAGAAGAAGCATTGTGGAACATGTATGTGGAAGAAGAACATTTTGAGAAAGAGAATCTGTATAGATGTGGAGAATGCAATAAATTGGTTGAAGCCACAAAGGTAATGTTTCACATCTGCTACGTTTCCAAATATAGTCTGTAATAGAGCAGAATAAATCCACTCTTGTTTGTTCTGCATAAAATTCACTTAAGTACATAATCTGTTTTTTGTGTCATGGAATTATAATATTGCATAGTAAATAATTTAAGTTCATCATTGTTATAATGCTTATTATTTTTATATTTCTCAGATTTGTGTCTTCATTTTCTATGAAATTGTAGTCAAGTTGCCAAACAGTGATTTATATATAGAACTTCAATTTCTATACCACCCCATTAGTGCTGAAGCACTATTCTGGGCAATTTACAAAGGATTAAAAACAAAACAATTGTGATGGCTTTTAGCTAATACAATAAACTTAAACTTGGATTAAAAATAAAACTTTACAATAGAACACTACAATATAGCAGAAAATAGCAATAATGTGGCAAGAGCATTAAAAAAAAAAAGACCCAGTGGCACCAACAAATTATGACAGTGGAGCTGGAGGCAAAATGCTCAAGCAGGGTCATATTGGAAAGCCTGCCTGAAAAGAATTGTTTTCATCTGTCTCCTAAAAGAATACAGGGAGGAGCCAGGTGTTGCTCTTCTGGGAACTGTTTCTATAGTCTTGGTGCCAGCACAGAGAAGGCCCTACCTCTGGTGGATATCTTTCGGACTTCTCTCGGGGTGGCTACCTGGAGGAGCCTAGCCAGAGACAATCTGGTGGCCAAGGCAGGTGACAATGGGAACGATGCTATGGCCAGTAATGTGGTCCCAAACCATGAAGGGCTTTATATTCGAGTGTCAAAGCCTCATGCTTTAGTTGTTCATATGCACATGTGTGCGCGTGTGCGGACACCCACCCACACACACCACACTGGTCTGGAAATAATTGGACACTGACAGGTTTTGTTGTTTCGGCTGTTTACCAAAATAAATGCAAGTTACAGTGAAGTGAAATAATGACTATGGGCTTAAAGTGCAGACTCTCAGCTTTAATTTGGTGGCATTCACATCCAGATTAGAGGAAGGGTTTAAGAATTAGCTATTTAATATGTAGCCCCCTCTTTTTTCAGGGAAACAAAAGTAATTGGATAGTTGACTCAAAAGCTGTTTCATGGACTGCTGTGGGCTATTCCTTCATTATTTTGTCATCAGTTAAGCAGGTAAAAGGTCTGGAGTTGATTCCAGGTGTGGCATTCCCATTTGGATGCTATGAACTCACAACATGCATTCAAAGGAGCTCTTAATGCAAGTGAAATAGGCCATCCTTAGGCTGCAAAAAAAAGAGAAGGAAAGAAAAAAAAAGGAATCCGAGAGAGAAATAGCAGGAACATTAGGACTGGCCAAATCAGCAGTTTGGCACATAATGAGAAAAAAGAACCAACTGGTGAGCTTGGCAACACAAAAAGGCCTGGATGTCCACAGAAGACAAGCGTGGTGGACGATCGTAGGATCCTTTCCATGGTAAAGAAAAACCACAACATCCAGCCAAGTGAGGAACACTCTCCAGAGGGTAGGCATATAATTATCCAAGTCTACTATAAAGAGAAGACTCCACTCAAGAATAGAAAGGCAAGATTAGACTTTGCCAAAAAAAAAATCTTCGAAAGCCAGCCCAGTTCTGGAGCAGCATTCTTTGGACAGATGAAACTAACACCAACCTCTACCAGAATGATCTGTGGGGGAAATTATGAGGAAGACTTGGAACAGTTCATGATCTGAAGCATACCACATCATCGTTGACACACGGTGGAGGCAGTATGATGTTATGGGCTTGTATGGCTTCCAGTGGCACTGGCTCACTAGTGTTTATTGATGATGTGACAGAAGACAAAAGTAGCCGGATGAAGTCTGTAGGGATATATATTGTCTGCTCAGGTTCGGCCAAATTCAGCAAAGTTAATTGGATGGTGCATCACTTTAAAGATGGACAGTGACCCAAAACATACTGCAGAAGCAAACCAGGAGTTTTTTAAGGCAAAGAAATGCAGTATTCTGCAATGGCCAGGTCCATCACCTGATCTCAGCCTGAACAATTATGCATTTCGCTTGCTGAAGACAAAACTTAAAGTACTTTTACTTTACTTTTACTTTTATTGAATTTATACCCCACCCCTCTAGACAAAGTCTACTCGGGGCGACTTACATGAGTGATAAAACAGGATAAAATAACATATAGAAAACGTAATAGCCAATGTCTATATACATATCTACAAACAACATCTGAAGACAGCTGCAGCAAAGGCCTGGCAAAACATCAGGAAACGCAGGGTTTGGTGATGTCCATGAGTTCCAGACTTCAAGAAGTCGTTGCCTGCAAAGGATTCTCAACAAAGTATTTAAAATGAACTTTTTATTTAGGATTGTGTTAATTTGTCCAGTTACGTTTGAGTCCCTGAAATAAGCCCCTAAACTGGTATCAGTTCCTAAACGTTTCATACAGTAATTTTGTTTAACACCTTAAATTAAAGATGAAACTCTGCACTTCAGTTGCATCTCAGTGGTTTCATTTTAAATCCATTATGGTGGAGTACAGTCAGAATTATGAAAAGTGTGTCAGTTTCCAATTATTTTTGGACCTAATGGTATATAACGGGAGGGAGAGAGAGAGTATAATGCAGAAAAAGCAAATATATTACTGTGTCCTTAAAATATGAATACTTTCTTGAAACTTTTTGATCATTTTGCAGTCTGCAAAACTACGCAAGTTGCCTCCATTTCTCACGGTCTCCCTCTTAAGATTCAACTTCGATTTTGAGAAGTGTGAAAGATATAAGGAAACAAGCTGCTACACTTTCCCTTTCTGGATAAACCTCAAGCCTTTTTGTGAGCAGGTTGAAGTTTTTCTTTCTTGGTATCTAAATGTTCATACAGTTGTCTGGTATCATCCTGAATCATTAATGCAAGTTTGTTTATTTTGGATTCATTGTTGGTAGTTTTGCAATGTGTCCTGTTTACCTGCACAGCCCTCATTTGCGCCTATGACCTGGACTGATTTAGTTGCTCATATCCAGTTTCTTAGCACAGAGATTGGAATACATTTAATATCTTTGGAGCTATTTGGCTAAATGCTTCATGACGTTGGTTATGGCAACCATTGGCCCATTTCGGGGTTTTAGTCCTTTTCCCAGCTTTACCTAGGCAAGTGAAAGTAAACCTTTTTAGGGCCTGAGTGCCCACACTCAAAACAAAATAAAACAAAAAAGTGTGCGTGGTGGCGGAACCGGAAGTGGCAGCGGAAAGGGAAATCCCGGACACGGAGGTGCCTTGAGACTCTACTCCGGATCCGCTGCCAGCACCAGCTGTTTCAGATCCTGGCCCATTGCCTGTCGAAGTGCCAGCACCACAGCTGCAGCTCCCTCCTGAGGTTTGGCTGCGGGGGGGGGGAGTAGCAATCTGGCAACTTACAGCTCGTGTGCCCGCAGAAGGGGCTCTGCGTGCCAGCTGTGGCACACATGCCGTAGGTTCGCCATTGCTGACTTAGGCTGCATCCAGAGCTTAAAATATATATCACAGGGAATCAGTGGGGCTTCCAGCCAGGCTGCAGAAGCTTAAACTGTGTTAATTTTTTTTGTATAACCTCAGTCTCATTATAGAACCTTCAGTATATTAGTCATACTACTTGATCCTCCTAGATCTGCATATCTGAGCAAAAAGAGCATTGCTTATCCAAGGAGCACATACTAAACTTTAAAAAGTTATTTTCATATAGGTTCTGTTACTTGTTTAATTATAGGCGTTGTTTTGGTTTATTTAGAACTTAGTAATTAAGGTCTTATTTTGCCCTCAGTAGTTTATCATCTCAAAATACATCTGCTGTTCAAAACTCATAATAGAGCAATCTAACATTCCCTATGTACAAGGAGCAGAGATACCATTGTACAATGGGCACATGTTCTATTGCCAAAGCTGAGGGGGAAGGGTGGACATAAAATCTGAAAATAGCAGCCAGTGGAAATACTAGAAGAGTTCGCTGATCCAGAATTATGTCAACTGTGATACACAAATGCTCCCCCACAGAAAGAGAGAAAGTGAATTAAAGGTGACTGGGACATAACCCTGGCATACCCATCCTTGTATGACAGCCTACAAAACACTACATCAACCCTATAAGCAAGGTTTGAATTTCCTTATGCTGCTCACAAGCAAGAGTTGGGGTACAAAGCTCGAAGGAAGGAGAGATCCCGAAGTATGGTAACCACATAGTTCTTGAGGCAGGAGACCTGCTGTGCTTTGAAATCTTCTGGAGAGGAAAAAAAAATCCTTTGCCATGTAGCCAAAGGGAGAAATGTTGATTGCACTTCATCCTGAAATCTTTGTGTAGAGAAGATAAGGTACACAGAAGTAACTACTGAAATCTTGTTGCTCAGCTTATGAAAAATTGCAGCTTTCAGTCCATTCTTATTCACTTATCCAGTGTTGAAATAATTCTCCACACTGGAGGGCACATAGCTTGCCGCAAAGCAGCCTGTGCGCATGCTTCCAAGAATGGTGGCAGGGATTCTTTATTTGCCAAATAGGAATGAGCTGAAAGTTACTATTTTTGTTAATGATAAGCAATAGGAGTTTAACTATTAAATGATATGAGCAGAGCTTCCAGAGATAATATTGGTTTGTGGTAGGTTTCAAGATATTCAATTAGCTGACCTCCAGCTGTTTAAATGTTCAAAAGTTCTGTTCCTGTTCATAGTTCAGACTTGTCTGCTTTCTTATTTTCTGGTTTTATTGGTGTCTCTTGTCTGTAATACAGTGCATTGCAAAAAAAAAATCAGCTTCTTGAAGATAGGTTACTGAGCCAAACTTCTGATTTGGGAATAGCTCTCTAACTAATGGCACTTAGTTATCATCTAGAGCAGTGGTTCCCAGTGTTGAGTAACTCATGTGTTCTTGGACTGCAACTTCCAGAAATGACAGCCAGCACAGAAGGCTTCTGGGAACTGCAGTCCTTGGTTACCCAAGGTTGGGAACCAGTGGTTTAGAGCAATATGTTCTGTTTTATTTCCTCCATTTTGATCCCCCCACTTCTGTTGTAGAAATGATTTTTTAAACAACATGCACATTATTGTTTTGGTTTTTAGGCTCATTTGGATGATGTGGAATATATGTATGAACTCTTTTCTGTTATAATACACAAAGGCGGCTGTTACGGAGGACATTATCATGCTTACATCAGAGACATTGATGAACTGGGAAACTGGCAGATGCTAGTAAGTATTTGATTTCTGTTCAGTTTTTATGTCTGCTTTACGAGTACAGTTTGCGAAAATGGACACATCGAGTCAAGCAAAGTATCTGTTTATCACTTATATCGGTTTTCCTCTGAAGAGCTTAAAGCACTAAACAGTTATCCCATTGTACCTTCAGAGTATAAAAATATTAATCAATTTTGATTTGCTTACTTACTTCCCTCATAAAATGTCTTAAAGGAGACTATTTAGATGGGCAAAGATGATTTCTGGCAAAGTTCTTTGAGGGGATGCTGGAGTTTTGCAACTGTTTTTAGCCAACTTTAGTATTACAATGTGATTTCTGAGGTTCATCCTCCCACGTCCATTGTACGATAGAGCTGCATGGTTAAATGGCTGTGGGAGTGGGAAGGTAAAAGTTGGGATTCGTGTGGATACATAGTTTTGTCCAGTCATGTGCCAAAGCAATGTCTACTGCTGTCTACTGCCCAGTCCTTCATGCAGCAACACACCCTCCCCCAGTCTCTTCTGAAGCATTGGACCTACTGGAACAGATTTGGGGGATGCTATGAGGAGATAGTCCTATGAAGTGAGTGGAGTTTTGCTTGTGTGATATATCTAGACCAAATACCTAGTAGTACCTTTTTCTTTCAGGTGGGCCAATGTATCAAAAATTCTTTTCTTTTCCTTTCCATTCTTTTTCTTCTTGCGTTCCTCCTCCTCCTCTTCCTTCCATCTCCTACCAAGAGACCTGATGTACAGCAGATCTAGACAATGGTATTTTGCATCTAAACAGTGATGTTATTTACAGTGGACCCTCAACTTACAGACGGCTCGACTTACAGACTTTTCGAGTTACAGACTTTTCTGGCTGCAAAATTTAGGTTCGACTTGCAGCGGGAAAATCGACTTACAGACCAGAAAAAAACAAAAATGGAACAAAAATGGCTGGTTACGGCATTAATCGGTTTTCAATGCATTGTAGGTCAATGGAGACTTGACCTACAGACTTTTCGACCTGGAGCCATCATTCCAATACGGATTAATTCCATAAGTAGAGGGTCCACTGTATGTTGGCAGTCTGCAAAGTTGTTCAGCCAAGACGTTCTTCCTCTGAGATTCCCATTATGTCCTGTATGGTTAGCTGTAACAATCTGTACTTTTTTTTTCTTATTACATGATTGAAGTATTCTGGTTTTCTGTATTTTATCTTGTCTTTATCTGTTTGCTTTAGTTCTTCCTCACTGGTCACTGTCTCAGCCCAATGTTCTTGGCATCCTGTAACAACTTCTGCTCTGGCATAACAGAAAGTACAGTTCTATTTTTGTAGTTTCTTAATTTGGTGCGCTTTTTTTGTTCTCTTGGAGGAAGAAGATAACTTGAATGATGAAGATAAGGATTTGAAATACACTGAAAACATGAAAGAGTGTGAAAATCCATTAACACTTCTGAAAAGCATATTATTGGAGGTAGAATATATTTAGTGCTACTTCATTATTAGAGTTTTATAATATTTACCAGCTATACGTTATGTGGAGAAATGCTATATGTCATTGCATTTCATATTTTTCACCTGTGTGCATGTGGGTTTTTCATGTGTGTGCATGTGGGTCTGGTCTCTGGGTGTCTGGTTGAATTTCGTCGTATGGGTATACTATGTATGCACTTACAATGACAATAAATTTATTTTTATTTTAAATGTGTGAAATAAAGGTCCACTGGACCTTTATGTAGAACTTTCTTGATTACAGAAATAACATGCAATATAAAAAAAGTCAGCAGTTAAGTGGCATAAAGAGGTATTTTTGTCAAGTCCGTACTTGCTGCTCTTAATGAGGATGAAATGTTTAAAATGATATTTGCATTCTAGTATGAGTGGCTGAAGTACATAATAAAGACTGATGTAAATTTGGGACCAGACTGAATTTGTAGAACAGCATTTGTCCCTATTTTGTACAATCCCTTTGTTTCCTCCTGCAGTTTTGTCAATAATTATCTGATCTTGTAGGAAGATTCCAAGGAAATTGCTGTAGATCGGTTGGCACAAAAGGTTTTGGAGAAAAAAAACGTGTCCTGGAATAAGAAATATCGTAAACAGTATGGACCAATACGGAAGGTATTATGTAAAGATACTTTGAACTATGCAATATATTTTATAAAATTTCCCATACCTTATCCTATGTTGCATACTATTTGAGGCTATAGTACTTTTCTCTTAATGTGAGTAGGCATTTTTATTCCAGGTTAGTGTGGCTGTTACACATTTACCAATGGTAGGGACATAAATTATGAGAAAAACAACATGAAATTCTAAATGATTTGAAGTTTTAACATGTAAGCAGTTGATAAAGTACTATCAGTTGTATTCTTCTACATTATTATTTGTGATATTTGGCAGGAAAAATGTCTGTCCTCCTAGAAGGCCTAGGTAAAACTATATGGTAAGACTCTTCAGTTTTCAAAAATCCTACTAGTATTTTTAGAATGCCAGAACAAATTATGGTACAGTGGTGCCCCGCATAGCGACATTAATCCGCTCCGGATTAATCATCGCTATGCAAAAACGTCGCTAAACGGATCGAAAAAACCCATAGGAATGCATTAAACTTAGTTTAATGCGTTCCTATGGGGCCACAACTCACCGTTCAGCGAAGTTCCTCCATAGCGCCGCCATTTTCGCGCCCTCGGTAAGCGAGGGCAGGGCGCGAAAACACTTGTGGCGGCCATTTTGGGCACCCAGTGGCCATTTTGGAACCGCCGATCAGCTGTTGAAAAAAACATCGCAATGCGAAGATCGGTAAGTGAAACGCTTACCGATCATCACAATGCAATGTTTTACCCATTAAAACATCGCAATGCGATCGTATTAGCGATCTAAAAAATTAGATCGCTATGCGGATTCGTCATTAAACAGTGCGCTCGTTAAGCGAGGCACCACTGTATATGAATGGTTTTTAATTGAAAGTAAAGAGACTTCAATTTAGAAAATACTAAGAGAATATTAAGGAGCAGTTGCAATTTTTCTCCATAAAGATTATCACAGCTTCTTCATTATGGTCTCTGTGAATCGCACACACATGGTCTTTCTGCGCATGCACAAAGTGTCATTGGAAGCTTCTAGAGCTGCTGCATGAGATAGGAGAACCATTGGTACTGTTCCTCCTCCACCAAGTATATCTTGGCACTTAACAGCCCCCTTTCAAAAAGGGAGCAGACAAAGTTGTGTTCAATGAATTATGATTTCATGGTATATCCAAACCATGAAAGTGTAGTATTTCAGCTTTGGAAGAAGCCAACATACCAAGCTATCCTGGCTTATTTCAAAACTTTTAGCATTCAATTAGTGGTTTGGATGAGAGGTCAAGATAAAATTGTCTGCATATGGGCAGTGTACTGAACACTGAACTGCAGGGATGAAGATAGTTTGAGGAAGAATGGAGTTACATGTGTGATACGAACTTTGTTGGAAATGGTGGTGTCATTGGATGCAGCAAAAAATGAAAACCAGGGAAAGCTCATACTGTGCTTTCTGGGTACCTGGGCCTCCCAAGAGTGCCAGTACCATTCTGCAGAGCATATACTTCCTATGTGCTTATCCTAGGAGAAGGGCAAGGCTAAGAAGACTAACAATGAATTTCATGGCTTAAGTCTCTCTGCGTTTTAGAATCTGCTGGAAGCTAGGCAGGGAGTGGAGAGTGCACAACAGGAGGTAGCCCCCTTCAGCAGGAAGGAGCGATAAAATGTCTCTTTCCATGAGAAGTCAGCAGGAACTTTCTTATCATAGCATCAGGAACAGAGAACCATTTCAGAGATACATTGTTATTTTAAAAGGAAAAGCTAAGCCAATAAAAGTAAGCTGTGTAATCCTTGGATGTCCAAAATATATGTGAATATGAACCATTCACATTTCTGTATTTTGCTGCAAATTTCTGGTCCATTATAGAAGCTCATACGTATGCTAAATGGTGATTTATTGTTTTTGTGAACGTAGCCAAATTCAGAAAAAAATATTAATATAAAAGAGAGTACCTTTAAAAAATCACAATTACATTACTTAAACTGGATTTTTAAACACATGACATTATGTGTTCCACTTGCCTTTTCTTTTTTTCCTTTTAGTATTTGCAGAGTCATCCTCAAACTTTTCTTATTTCGAATGAAAACAAAGTTAGGCTAAATGACCAAAGCCGTAAATTCCATTCTGGATCATCTTCCCAAAGCCACCTTCTGAATGATGACATGAAAATATCACTTGAAAGCATGAAAACATCAGCAAGCTTAAAGGAGAATTTTTTTGAACCCCATTGGTTTGATTTAAATGACTCCAAAGTTCATGCAATCAGAGAGGGAGAGATTGAGAAGCAGTTTCAGGGTAATGAGAGTGCATATATGTTATTCTATCGCAAATCGCAAATGGCAAGGCCCCCTGAAGGTATGGAAATTGCACAATGTGTTTTTTGAGTTTTCATATCATTTTTGGTTTTTTGCTCACTTTTTTGCCTTATGCTTGCAGAAGGCTTAAAAAGAAATAGTGCTGGAAACCCTTGATGAAATAACTTAGTTTTATTTATTTATTTCGTTTGGCATAGCAGAATACAGCATTATTATAGTAAGACTTCACAGAAACAGTATAAACTATGTATAAAATGTAAGAGCTTCAAAGAATAAATTCAATGAAATTTTGCAAACATCCAATATAAATAGTAGATAATTACTGAAATAAATTATATACTGTATGAGTGGTTGCTAGAGGGACTAAGCCTAAGGCCGGATATCTAATTCATTTAACCATTGAATAGCAGTGCCCTCAAGATGATGTAATTCTTTCAGGGAGCCAGGGAATCTTCTAAGGGGACATTGCATTGCAATGTGATATAAAGTTTGCAGGACATGCCCACAGTCACAATTAGAATTATCAGCAAGCCCCCATTTATGTTTCCAATATTGGCACCTGCTGTGGTTAGTTTGAATCTGGTTAAGCACTGCAGTTCACTGATACCAATAGCAAAACTTGCTGGTGAGTGTTGTGAAACTGCACAAAGCAAGTCTTCTTATCTGAACAATTGGTTTTTAAGACAATAGTTCTCTAATTTTCCAGGATCTCTTTCCAGGATTGGTGGTTATCACAAACACAGTTTCCTTGGTTTTCTAAGTGCTTAAAATCTCGTTGTGTAAGTTATGCCTGTGAAAGGGTGATTATGTCACTAACAGAGGAGATCCTCAGTAATTAAAGGCTTCCTGCTTCTGCCTCATCTATGGCCTTCACACAGTAAGCAGGATTACTCACAAGATGGGCAACCCAAAGGCAAAAGAGAAATATCTTTAATTACCAAAAATCACCCGTTGTCAGTGATGTCATCACCCTTCCACAAGAGTAACTTATGCAAAAAGATTTGGGCCAATGCATTGTTACCGAAAGGTAACAGGCTTCTTTATAAACAGCAACAGGATATTCACAAAATCCTAGATTTCAATACCTACTATGTAGTTCTTCCAAAATAATTGTTTTTCAGTTAATTAGCTTTTTCAACTCATTGACTTCTGTTGTATACAGCTCGAGGAAATCCAAGATACCGGGTCCCTATCCATCTCTTGAATGAAATGGATGCTGCTAACATCAAATTGCAAAAGAGGAGGTGAGGCAAGTAGTTAACACTGAAATTGAATGTGTCAGTTATGTGGAGAAATGCAGAACTTGAACAGCCATCTTGTACATTTGGAAACTATGTATGACATAGACTTTCATGACAGCCAATTATATTTGGAGGACTGGCAAGTAGAAAGAAGATAGAGCAAGCTTGTTTTCCGCTTTTGCAGAGAATAGTACCCAAACTAATGTCTTCAATTTGGAAGAAAGGAAATTTTGACTCAGCTTTAGAAGGAAGGCCCTGAGAGTAATAATTGCTCAGTGGTGGAGCAGATTGCTTTGGAAGGCAGCAGACTTCCTTTTCATGTGAAGTTTCTAGGATTTTGTCATGTTTATGCCTCTACACAAAGCACCAGGCAAAAATTTCTTACACTTCAAGACTGTTTTTATTTTGTATTTAAAGAGAAACAAAATAGTATACACATTTAGAAGTAAAAGCGCTAGGAGAATGCTTATGAAAGCCTGCACAGTACAAATCATGATTATTTTAAAAAGAGTTGATGTAAAATTTTATTGAAATTAGGTGGGCATACTTATTTTAAAGTATGCCCACCAACTTATTTTAAAGTATGACTGATGGCAAGAAAGGTAAGAATGATAGTAAGAAAGTTAATATGTTTAAAAACACATTTATATTCAAAGGAATTTTTTCTTTTACTTTTTAAAGGGCGGACTATGACTTGGCAGACAATAACATTGATCTGCATCTCCATATATGCTCTCACTATAAATTTTATAATGGGGCTCTGCATCCACTGCTTTCCCAAAAGGAGAGTATTCTAGATCTTACTTTTGATAAGAGAAAAACGCTGGGGGAGCTTCGACGATCAGTATTGCAGGTATTTGCTCCTATATTTTTCCAGGTTTGTTAGTTATGAATTTCTTTTATAAAGATAACAACAAAGTTATAAAAATGTAATGGTGTTCAGTGCACAAAGTAGATTGGCCACATATGATTTCTTGTTGTCTGCTGTGCTAGGGTTCTAGAATGCATTACTCTTGTGGCTGTGTTCGTATATTGTGCTGTTGTTTGGTGTGACAGGAAGAGGGGTCTGCAATCCTGCCTCTGTTTTGGGTTGCAACCATGTGTAGAAGTTCAGGAACTTTTGTTCCTGTTTCTGCCTAAATACTGCTTTTCCTGTTTTCTGAATCTACTGTGGCTTCTTTCAGAAGAGTCAAGTATTATGGTGACAAGCTCGTTATAACATTTTTAAAAAAGATATGGATAGAGAAAATGTGCCTGCAGTGGCCATATTGGTTTTTAAAGTAAATTTTGTAAAATAAAATGTTTTTGTAAAACCAAATATTGAACCTAGAATCTACATTTTAAATGTAAATAAAGGATGTGAATAATTTCTGATGAGGATGAAAATAGTCATATATGCACTTTTGAAATATTTCAATATTTCATGACTAGTTACTGGAATTTTGGGAAGGAGACTTGGTTCTCAGCCTTGCAAAGCCCCTGCCAGCTGGACTGCATATAAACCAAACACTTGAGGGTAAGAAATCTTTAAAACAAAGTTTCAAAACTTTCTGTGTGTCACGTGTGTCTTCTAAAATTAAAGCAGAACATATATGAGAAAAATACATAAGACACATAGTAGCTGGGGTTTAATGAAGTGACCAAGTTATTTTTTTTAATCAGGATTGGATCAAAGAACTTGAAATTTGGACCCAAGAAATATCCCAGAACAAATTATTTAGCTAAATAAAACAAAACAAAAAAATGCAGTTAAGTTCTAAAGTGAGCTATATCTGATAGTTATAGTTTATTCCATGTCTGTAATTTGGATTGTGCCGTTTGTCCCTTCTGTAGTGTAGAAACTGGAGTTTCTCAGTTTCAGTTTTAGATGGAGAAGCATTTACTTGCATTGAACCCATTGCACAAGCGCCTACACTCACAGCGTGTACCTCTCATCCCCATAGCCTCCTCTTTCCTTTCCTCACCACCAACCCTGTCGGATCATTTTCAAAATGAAGTGGAGCCAGCTTTTGAAGGCTGCAGGCAACGTGGACAATACTCGTCCCACACATAAAAGTGAGAGTGCCTTCTGCTTGAATAGCAGGATCCTTGGGTCCAAGCCAGTTATTTATATTTCTGTTCCACCTTTCTCCCAGTGAAAGGATCCAAAGCAACTCACAAATTATTTTAAAAAAAATCAGTTGAAACCACAGTAAATTATGCAATTTAAATATTAAACATGTACCATATTAGAACAATTAGTTAAAAACTGTTAAAAACACATATAAAACACACATAAAGTAATAATACCCAGCACACAAGATCAAAAACTGTCCAAGTAGTTGTTAAAAGCTTATCTAAAAAAGATAATCTCCACCTGTCATCAGAGAGACATGGGGAGGGGTCCAAGCTAAGGCTCCCAGAGTAGGGCATTCCACAACCTTGGAGCCGACACAAAGAAGGCGCTCTCTTGTGTCCCCACCAGATATGCCTGAGAGGGCAGTTGGTCTGACAGAAGGGCGTCCCCTGAAGAGCTTAAGAGCTAGGAAGGAGACAAGGCCTTGACCCAAATCACAGAGAGCTGGATAGTATAGATTAATGAATACAATGGCACATTCAAGGTTACCTACAGATTTGCTCTCGCAGGATAATTTTTGTGCTGAAATTTGCTGAGGTAACTTAAATTGACATTTCAGTATATTCTTTTGTGGTCAAAAAACTATTTTGTTTAATTCTGTCAGGTGATGATTCCACCTTGAATAATGCTGGGCTTTTTGATGGAGCTGATATATTTGTGTGGAATGGAAAAGAGGTAAAAAAAGTTGCACTGTGGAGGATATAAATGTTTTTAAGGCTTTAAAAAGCTTGTGGTTTATAGATTATATAATAGTTTATGTTGAAACGCTCATTCCAGTTAATTACAAGAATCCAGAATGGCAGTGACCAAAAGCCAAAAAAGTGTAATGTAGGAAGGAATTGTCCAAGGATTCCATAAGTCCTCGAATAGAAACACTATTGTTTATATAAATATATTTTAATATCCACATTAGATAAATTTAGAATGTGTAGATATTAGCTGTAGAAATATTTTTGTCAGAGAAAATTAAGATTGTTATTGTGCTAAATAGCTTTTTCCAGAACTTTTGTATGGGTACCAACATTTGTCTTCCTCACTTTCTGATGTGTACTTTTGATGAAATTTCTATAATTAAATGAAGACGGTAAAATAACATTACTTTACACTGCTACAATGAATTTATTGAAACCATTAAGGTTTGCAATACAATTTTTTTACTTTCATGGCTTTAAAATCAATTATATATTCTGGCAGATCTACTTGCTGGCTGCTCCATGATTATGACTTGCTCATTTTGCTAATTAGTAATAATTTTTCACCGTGCCAGTTCCAACTAATGGGAACTCTGTTCAGTTATAAAGTATTCAGACGTGGTTTATTGGTCCTCCTTCTGGTGGTACTCTGAGACTGTGCAGCTTGCTTCAAGGCTGCACAGGTGACTGTACATGTGACCCTATCACCCACAGATGCCCTACGTAGTCTTGGCTTAACACTCTCTTGGGAGGCAGAGTAAGGACATGAATACCTAAACCAGTGGTGATGAACCTTTTTGGGCTCGCGTGCCCAAACCAGGGGGGGGACACAGGCAACAGTGGAACCGGAAGTGGCGGCAGAAGGGGGAATCCCGGGCCCAGAGGTGCCTCGAGACCCCACTCCGATTCCGCCACCAGCACCAGCTGCTCCGGATCCTGGCCCACTGCCTATCCGGGCACCAGCCTGCTCAGGTTTGGCTGCGGGGGTGGGTGGGTGGGGAGTAGCAGTCCCGTGACTTGTGGCTCACGTGCTAGCAGAAAGGGCTCCGCGTGCTAGCTGTGGCACGTATGCCATAGGTTCGCCATCACTGACCTAGATCCTGGTTTCACAGCCAGGCATTTGGATCCATAGAGTTAAACTTGCCATCACATAAGTTTCTAAGTATTGTTTCAAATGTGAATCTTAATTAGAAAGCTGGATCACAGCATGCCTAGTATAAAAGGAAATCTAAGATTCACCTGTACAATTTTGCTGTTGGAATATTACTTTTGTAAAATATTCTTTGAACTCATTAGCTGTTTTCTAATCTTTTTATTTTATTCCCAAAGGTTAATGGAGTAGAAGTTCGGACTGGCGTTGACCATGAACCTGTTCTCATAAATGTTCTTCGTTTAGCTGGACATAATGAAGGACGAAAGGGGCAACAATTTGTGGAATCCCAGCATGCATTTCCTTGTGGTTTAAGCCTGAGCATGGTTTGTGAACTTTTAACATCATCTAAAGGTATAATCTTAAGAAGTCATTCAGAGTCTGAGAAAGAACCTGAAAACTGGAAGATTGTTCCAGAAGAAGATATGGAAAAGACCCTCAGGACTGTTGGCCTTACCGATGGAAGCTCCATATTAGTTTTAGACAGCCACGATCAAAGGTCAGTGTTGCACATTGGCTTCCCGTTATAGTTGCTCTCCTTTCAGATTTGAATGTGGAATTCAAAGTTTGAAAGCTGTTTGGCAAACCAAATAAGCTGTTCATTTTTGTTTGTTTTTCACTTTGTTCTTTTTTATTTTAGCTCATGATATCCTTAGTTTAATAGTTCTGTGTCAATCTAGCCTAGCCTAATCTAGCCTCCTTTACTCCCAGATTACCTAGGCAGCTCATTTTGCTTGAGAAAACATATGGAGGCATTGATGGGATTGGTCTAGCCCCAGGCAGGTTCCAGGGAGGTAATTGGCTTCTTCAGCCCTGGAATGTGCCAGTGGTGGGATAATGGAACAAAAGAAGCCCTCTTGACTTATGTAAAAAAGATTAGCAGGGGCATCGACATGGTTGTCCAAATTTTTAAAAATGCTTAGAATTATGCTACCAGTTTTCATACGGACAGAGTTGGCTGTTGTAATTGCTACAAGTACTGACCCTACCACAACTGTTGTAGTGTTACCTCTGAGCCCCTAGTAGGGATACCCCCATGTCATTCCCATGCCACTTTGACTATTAAGAAAAGGATCCCACTGCATTGTACGAGTTGTGAGATTCCTGTGGGAAACTGGAAGTGTCCAGAAATCCCTTTCTGGTTTTGAAAAAAGTGTTTCCTGTTGTCTACTTAAAAAGATACAGAGTGGGGTGGGAGAACTGTTTTAAATAAGAATTAGCACTCTTGTAGGCTTTCCCTTTTTTTGCCATCCCCACCATCAAAAACCTGGGCAGATGGTCACCTGCTACCCATTCCCTCTCTTATCTCCTTTTTATTTTAAATGGAATTTGTACCAGTACATCTTTGCATGTAGAACCACACAAATATAGGACAGTCCACTGTCTCACAGATGGGATAGAAATATTTGTATAGGGCTTGAGGAAATTGTTTTCTTCTTGCCAAGTTGATCCCAGGGCTTAAAGACCTGTATTACTGTGGCAGAGAATACATGGATGCTATCACAAGCTGCCTACCTTTTCAGTTAGAGTATGTGTTGAACTAGGAGTGATGAGCTGTAGCCCTCCAAATATTGTTCAACTTAAGCTCCAGTAATGGACATCCAATGCAGTTTACTGTCAGCTATGATGGGAGTTACAGTCCAGTCTCTCTATAGCTGCAGTTATTAAAAGATTAGTGCTGCTGAGCAGAAGGTGGTAATAACAGTACATGTGAAGAAGTGTCAAGAACTGACCATGGTGAATAACTCTGAACAAGGCGGAATAGACATTTCAGAATCTGGTTCCCTGTTCCAGCATTTGATTTTATACTCTTTAATGCTGCAGCTCTCTTCTAAGATGGTTATATTACACTGCCTCTTTTCTCTCCATACATGTTCTATATATTCTTTTCTGTAAGATCGGCTACATTTAATTATTGTTTTCCAGATTTATTATTGTGAAGGAATTTTTGTGCCATTTGCGTAACTTTGTTTCTAATGATGGCACAAATCAAGTACAGTGGTGCCTCACTTGATGAGGATAATTCGTTCCGTTCAAATTGCTGTTAAGCGAAGTCCTTGTCAAGCGAAATGAAAAAGCCCATTGAAATACATTGAAAACTGGTTCAATGCATTCCAATGGGCGAAATCCCTCAGCGTCCAGCTAAGATCCTCCATAGGGCGGCCATTTCCCCGTGCCTGTAATGTGAGGATTCCTTCCTAAAGCACAGCGGGGAGCTATTTTGTACAGCGGGTGGCCATTTTGAAGACCCGATGATCAGCTGTAAAGATCAGCTGTAAAGATTGTCGTTAAGCAAAAAATCGGTTCCCAAAGCAGGGAACTGATAGTCGTAAACTGTTTTTTTCCCTATTAAAACATCGTTTTGCGATCGCAAAAGCGATTGCAAAAACTTCATCGTAAAGTAATTTCCTCGTCTAACAAGGTAATCATCAAGTGGGGCACCACTGTATAATAAAGGAATGCATATATTCCTTTGCCGGAGATTTTTACATGTGTTACTTTACTGTATTCAGTTAACATTAGTATCTTCATAAATTATGTACTAGGTTTTGACTGGATCCAAAGGCAGATTCTTGATTACATGGAGTGCTACTCAAATTTAAATAATCTGGATAGGTTATTTATTTATTAGACATGTCTACTCTGGGCGGTTTATACAAAAAACAAAAACACAAAGGAAAGTTTAAATACATTAAAAGATGGGGGCCCAATTTTACTGCAAGAGTAAAAAAACAATAACAACCCCCCCCCCAAGTGATGGCTGTTTGGAAGGCTTGCCTGTAGAGCCAGGTCTTTAGTTTGCTCTTGAGAGCCCTCAGCGAGGGGGCCAGGTGGATCTCTAATGAAAAGATGTTCCAGAGAAGAGGGGCCACTTTGAATATCAGGCCACTGTGTCATCCCAGGCGATAGCAGAAACTTAACAAAAGCAAATTGCTTTGCAGAGTGGGATACGGGAGGTTTAATATTCAAACAGTCACGATTACAACTGCCCTTGGAGCTCACAAAACCTGTGCAGTCCTGGTGTGTGGGTTGAAAGGGTTGTGGGAATCAGGTTTTAGTGTGTGTGTTACCACCTTTATTAAAGTGCGCAACTGGCAATGTGTATACAGTGCTTTCCCTAGTAATCTTGATCTGCAGCTGTTTTTCCTGTTTTTCCTCTCTTCAGTTTCTAAATTGAACTTTCCTTCCTTCCTTAATTAATTACAGAAGTAATTAATAATTAATTAAGGAATTAATAGGGATCCAAGTTTGTTTGCCATACATTAGCCAAAGTCCTGGGGCATAGTCACTATCCTATAACTTTTAGTTATGCAAGCATTTGCAAAACTTGTGCCAAATTTGGAGCAGGAAGGAGTTCTGTTGGCAGAGTTGCCAATTAGTTGCACAGTCTGTTGCACAGTCAGACACACAGTGTGGAGTGCCTGGGCATAACTTGTTCCAAACTTCCATAGTAACTTCATTATGCAAAATGGAGTGGGAGTTCACCCAAATAAAAGCAATAGAAAACTAAAGTACAGTAAAGTTACAAATACAAAAATAGAAATAAACTGGTGGTGTTATTAAAATGCAGCTAAGGTTAAAGCACTTCAAAATCTTTTGTTGAAAGTATTCATACTGCTTTACCTTTTAAAAGAGAAAACCAACCAATTAACTGAAGTCTTGTGGTATGAGGTATTAATTGCGGAGGCTTGCCAAATTAAAAGGTCGTTGTTTGATATTATCTTATGAAATATGTCATACTTTATTCTGGCAGTTTTTGAGCAATTAATGAAAAAGTGGAGAAAATAGTTATAAATAAAAGATAAAGAAAATAATGATACTGTAAATAAAAAAATGATAGACACATTGTATTTAAAACAATGTGACTTTTGATGGTTGCAGAACTGGGCCTGTCAGAATGTTTTCTTGATAATAGTGGGGCATAGATTGTACTGTGGCATATTTGCAAGGACAATTACTCTATAAAAATATGATTGTATTTTGTGGAACATTTATTTGCTTCAATTACTACATGTAATACATTTCCCTGCATTCTGTTCTACATGTGATGCGCAAATATGGATTCTAAGCATGTGTTGTTTGCAGCATGGTGAATGTGGCGGGCGGCAATTTGACTGCTTTTACGCATGATATCAGCTGGCTACAAGTAAAAAATTTCTGTAGCTTGGATTCTGAAGAGATGCAAGTTAAAATTACTGCAACTATTGAAACAGTAAGTAGATGATTGCGATTGTGCATGGCAGTAAGAGACTCCTAGGAACAGTTTTCTTCTTCCAGCTTACCTCCGCTTATTTTGTTATCTTTGCCTGCTTAGGTTTTTAGATAAGGAAGCAAAGGGTGTCCTAAAGATGTGCATGGGTCAGCTGCGAATCTTAAGCCTGATTCACACTTTATCTTTCAAACTAGTGTATAAAACTCATGGAAGTTTAAGGTGGCAAACACAGACCAGTGTTATCTATTCTGAATGGCATATGCATATTTAAATAGTTGGGTTTCTCTGCAATAAATGTATTTATTTCTGTGTTGAGTTTTTGTACTCAAACAAGTAATAGTTTTCAGCAAAGTTTAACAATATAGATGCTTTATACCTGCAGCTGATTGTTTGCACGCTACCAGTGCATGTATTACTGAGTGTCTTGCATCAGCTTCTCTACATGCATCTCTAGCACACAAGCAAAGAAATGTATTGTGAAAAGTTACATTTTCTTGGGATGCAAATCAGTTTTTAAAACATAAAAAGAGGCGAAATGTAGTTTAAAACTGCATGTTTGTTGCTTGCCTCCCCAAAACCTGCAAGTTAAAAGGAGTTGCAATGATTACACTTTAGCTTATGGATAAAACTAATAAGATGCAGTATTGTTTGGACTGACCTAGCTGCTTTTTCAATACAAATTCTGTGAGTAAATGTGAATGGGTATTCTTTATTTGTATTTGCCATATGACCTTGCAAGTAGTACATAAAAAGTACTGAGATATGAAAGCAACATACTAAAATCAAGATAAATACATGGTAATCAAATATACACACTCTGAAAAAATACACAGGTAAGTCTGCAAAGAATTACAGTTTTGAAACCACATTTAACCTTATTTTAATTGCTGCTGCTAAAAGTTTTATTGACTGTAACCATCACCAGTTTATCTTGGCCTACAAGAAGAAAAGTTACGTAAAAATCTGTGGGCTAAACCGCAGAAGCCTGTGCTGCAGGGTCAGAAGACCAAGCAGTCGTAAGATCGAATCCACGGGACGGAGTGAGTGCCCGTCGCTCGTCCCAGCTCCCACCAACCTAGCAGTTCGAAAGCATGCAAATGCAAGTAGATAAATAGGGACCACCTCGGTGGGAAGGTAACAGCGTTCCGTGTCTAAGTCGCACTGGCCATGTGACCACGGAAGATTGTCTTCGGACAAAACGCAGGCTCTATGGCTTGGAAACGGGGATGAGCACTGCCCCCTAGAGTCAAACACTACTGGACAAAAATTGTCAAGGGCGACCTTTACCTTACAAGAAGAAAAGTTACGTAAAAATGTAGTAAGTGGCCTGGATTGTTATTTAACAAAGGATAAACTAACTCTTTGCACACATTTCTGCAAAAAGAGCAAAATAATACATGAGCAAGCATTTCAGTACTATCACTGCATAGGCATATACAATTTTAATGGAATTCTTCTGAAATGACCCTCAGGTAGTTCTAAAGGCATGACATTAAGCCATGCTCATGAAAAGGCCCTACTGTATTTAGGAACTGTTAGCACTTGCAGATACTCTGCCATTGAATTTGAATGACATGTTAAAAAAATATGTGATTATTTGGTGGCAGGTAAATTATTTTGATGTTTTATATCATACAAGTACTGTTTTAGTAAATTCCTTGCATTGCCATGACCTATGGTATCAACAGGTATTGCGATGACAGTCCAAAAGCACATAGTTTGGACCTAATATTTTTAATCTGTTTGCTTCCATGTGGGTCCTGCCTAATAAAAGAAAGCAGACCAGAAGGAGCTTAATTCAGGTGTAGCCAAACATCTAATGCCCTCAGACAGGCCTATGTAGAAACAGAACTCCAACTTCAAAGAAAAAATTGAAGCACAGCCTCGTATGGCAAATATATGTGTAAGAAATTTAGACTGCACAGTTTCTCTCAATTTTAAGTTTGTATTGGCGCAGTCTTGAATCCCATATAGCAGCTGAGTAATGGTTTGTCTCCATAAACTTTTGGCATTGCTAGTATAAAACTCTGACTATTAGTGTAGAAAAACTGAGACAATGTTCCTCTCCCACTGCAGTCCTATGTGGCACTGTTGAAGCTATTTGGGAAAGCAGTCCCTGATCTTTTGGGAGCAAGAAACTGCAGCGAGAACTTAAAGAGGGAGATTGTTTGTGTGTTAATGTTTGTGCACATACTGTACAATGAAATGGAATATCTCAGTGACTTTGCTGTATTATTTCTTGTACTGCATTAACGGTTTTTCTCTAGGTGATGGCAGACATCCGACTTAAAGTGATAGAAGAAATGCAGTTGGATGAGGAGCTAGGTAAAATAATTTTATGTATTTAGTTTAATTTCTTTGAATAGATTATTTCAGATAAAAGAGCTGTGCAATCCTGTTACGCAGTCCAAAGACACAAATGGGTGATACTTTTATTAGGAGCCTTGCGGTATAGTGGTTAAACTGTAGTACTGCCGTGAAGACCCGGCTCGACTTGAGTTCAATCCCAGATTTAGGTAGCTGGCTTGAGGTTGATTTAGCCTTCCATCCCTCTGAGGTTGGAAAACTGAGTAAACAGCTTCAGGGGGAGGGGGGCAATGTGTAGCCTGTGTAATTAAATCGTAAATGATCCAGAGGCAGCTTTAAGCACATTTTGCTTCATGAGATCTCTTACCAGCAGTGAGTTGTTGGACTGTGTTACTATCACTTAGTCTGTTGTGTTGTATGTTGTGTGGATAATATGAGCTTTTGGAATGTAGGGATTGTTATGAGGTTGTGTGTGTGTGATTTTAGTCTGATCTCTGAGTGTTCCTTGTAAATTTTGTTGTACTGTATGTATATGTGGTGTATATACATTCAGTGACTTGAAATTGAAATTAACAAACAACAAATAAAAGATAGCTTATGTTTGTGATTTTCTTAGTAGTTTAATAAAGGTATCAAAGTTTGTTTGGATTATTTCAAAGTTTGTTTTAAAGACACAAAACAGGGTAAGAGTGTAGGGTAAAAACGAATGGTCTGGATTCAGAGTGAGCCTTCTATGAATGGAAGGGCTTTTTCTCCTTACAGCTAAAGAAATGTAATAATTCTCATAGAATTGTTGTGCAAAAACAGCAAAAAGAAATATCCCTCTTGCACAAAAAGAAAATCTTCATTTCTATTATTCTGAAAACAACACCTACAGTATATGATGAAGGAAATAAGCAACCTTTTATCATTTCAAAGCATGAATGTAAAATCAAAGCCATTTTTATTTATTTATTTTATTTATTCAATTTTGTAAAGCCAAGACAGTCTTTCCCAGTCATCTGCAACTTGGCACAGAAAATGCATAGGATCATGAGCTGGCCAGATTTTAGAGAAATGCCAGATTTAGCTGACAAAAATCATTCCTTTGAAGTGCAATACTGTATTTGTTATCTTTTTATTTACCCAGGAGATACAGCCAGACCCATGTTTGGTGGACATAGAACAGTGCTTTCTTTTGGAAGTTTAGATTGTCTCAAACACTGCAGGAAAGTGCAGGGCTCATTGAACGAGGTGTCTGGATGCAGAGCCAGAAGTTGAGAATTCGATTTCCCACTGTGCCTTGCAGGAGAAGATTCAACCTGTCCAGTCCCAAGTTGCCCCCAGAAGAAGGGAATGATAATCCACTTCAGACTCCTTGATAAAAAAAATTAACATTATAAATTATTTTATTTATATCCCGCCTATCTAGTCGATAGACCACTCTAGGCGGCTTACAACATGGGATACCACAATAAAAACAACAGAATTACATAAAAGAAAACTTTCAACAATTGGGTTAAAACATTAGGAAAGAAAAGAGAAGGGGATCAGGAATTATATCTAAGGGGATCAGAAATGATATCTAGAAAACCCTGAAAACGGTTGCCATAAGTCAGAACTGACTTATTACATTATTATTATTAGACTGTTATACAAACATATTAAATATACTTTGAGTACTCAGTTGTAGACATTTTCTGTTCATAGTTTTAACTAGAGATGGGCATGAAGCCCAAAATGAATCAGGAAATTCATGAAAAATCACCAGTTTGTTCCTTCGGATTGGTTTGGGTTCATCCAAATTGGAGAACCTGAACTTTCCCAAAGCAACATATTTTGAGTGATTTACAAACCTCCTGGTTTATCTGGAGCGTCCCCCCTCCTCCACCTGTCCCCACTACCCCCGTCACCTCCATCAACTGACGACATGAGACATGCAGCCACGCAGTCTGCCACCTCCACAAACAGCACCCAGTTTCCCTTTGGGCCACCTAGCCTACCCTGCCTGCCTATGGCCCACCGATCAACTGATTGGTGGGCTATAGGTAGGCAGGGCAGGCTAGGCAACCCAAAGGGAAGCCGGCTGCTGTTTGTGGAGGCCTCAGAGCGGGCGGCAGAGGCGCGGGTGGGGGCAGAGCAGCTGGAGGTGGTGGAGGCAGACAAGGTAGAGAGAAGAGGCAACAGGCAGTGGGAAGAGAACGGGCAGGCTGTGGGAGTGGAGGCACTCCGCTTCCACTGGTCATCTGACCAGATAGGTGGGGTAAAAATACAATAAATAAATAATTTGTTTTAGAGAGCCACAGGCTGCCTTAAAAAAAGCATTGATGAACTGATTCGTGGTTCGTCAATAAAGCATTTGGAAATTCATGGTTCATATCTTTGATGATGTGGGATTCAGTTTAGAGCAACAATATATGAATAAATAGGCATCAAAGAAAAAGAAATGATCAGGAATAGTAGCAGATATAACAAAGGTTTCCTTAAGTTAATTCATAAAATAATCAGCAACAAATATATACTTTAATTATTAAAATGTTGATGTTCATCTGAATAATGTTTTCTGTTCCAGTTAGCTAAATCACTTATAAATGAATGTTTTTGAACCTCCCATTTAAACAAATTGTTTTAGTCAATGCACATGATACCAGGCTGTGTCTTCTGAAGTGGGGCGTCTTCTTAAAAGATAGTGACCAATGGGATGAGGCATGTAGATGCTAAAATACAGACGAAAGTGTGTAACAGCTGTGTCTGCAAAAGGGAGGAAAAAGGATATGCTTTGATCTATAGGGATGGGGCCTAGATCTTTCAGAGTTGTGTCTGTGCCTAATATTAGTATTGATATCATTCACCCTCTTGAAATGTATATATTGACATGTTTTAAAGAAAACTGTAGGAAATTATTGTGGTAAGAAAAGGGCATTGTCTGTTGTGGGGGTTAATACTGTACTCTAATATGCAAACATGTTGTGATTTGTCAGAGCTCAGATTTTGGCAGCCAAAGCATTTCATGAATTAAAATGGGGCTAACTGTGTGGTATCTGGATCTGACTGCCTTAGATCTCCTGATTTAATGATTGTTTAGTCACAGTAATAGGTATCGAGTCTCTGTATACTGCACATATAAAAACCTTCTACATCGGAATAGCTTTGGTGGTAGCTCTTCCCTTTCTGTCTATAGTCCATGCTCCTATACACTGTTCCTCTGTTCTTCCTGGTCTCTGCATAGAACCATTGTAGGAACCTGTTGTAAGTCTATGTCTCTCTGCAGCCTTCCTTAAATGTTTTTTGGAATGTGGAAGAAAGATACTTCTCAATGATGGATGCATGAAGTGTTTATTTTGTCTGGAGGAACCAAAGGGGTTGAATGAGAAAGCTGCATGGAGGGAGGCCGAGTCACATGCGCCCAGCTTAGAGGGAACCTTGATTGCAATCATTCTGTCAGTCCCAGATCATCTCGTAGTCCTGACTCTGGTGTTCAATCATTCCTGATAGCTTGAATACTGGCATACCTTTTTTCCATCTCAACCACATCACACAGTGACAACCACTGCTTCCACAGAGGTCATAGCTGAGACCATTGCATTAAAGGCTGATGAACATCACCAGAGACTCTTCTCCGTGTAACTGTCTTAGAGCTCCTGAAAATATCTATGAGGTGTACAGTATTTACCCTTTTCTAAAAGAGCACTGGGGTTGCTACAAAAAGTACCAACAGTGCTTTTTGTGTCAACAAATGAAGAAACACAATGCAAGACAACATTATGGGAGTTTAGTCTAAGTCACTGGTATTGATGCCTTTGCAGATTTTTTTTCCTGGTGGTGATCCATGTTGTCAGCAAGCAGTGTCCTGAACAATCTCCTCAACAGAATGGATGGAAAAATTCATGATTAAGAATTGAATTCTGTTCTGTGCAAGAGAGTGTTCCTTATGTGGAGTCTGCTCCAGATAGACACGTTTGCTTTGTATACAAGCAGAAAACTCAACCTCTGTTGCAGTTTTATGGGATGTGGATGTGACTTCCTGGACAATGCATTCCTGCTATCTTGGTGAATTTAGAAGTTGTACATTTCCACCCTTTCCAGTGTTGCTCAAGATTGATCAAAACATTACACAAAATTACCTCTTGGTGGCTAATTCTGCTTAATCTATTCTGGCAGTATCCTGTTTTATGGTTGCCATGCTCAAGGCCTTACTTCTTTTCCTATCCTGCTTAATCTCTTCAAATGTACTTTTATTGGTTACCTCTCTGCCATGATGTCTACTGAGACACTACATTAGTGTTTTTATCAGCATGATAGGCATCTCAATTTGACTGCATGGAACAGTTTTGCATCAGATGAAAGATTACTCAGAACCGTTGAAACTGCATGAAAATCTTGTACAAGATGATCTTATGATAAAATGGAAATGGTTTTTCCCCCCAGAAACAGAACTATTCTGTTTTGGTCTGACCAGCTATATAATATGTCATGTTCTGACTTTTCTGCTTTAATTAAAAAGGATTATCTTTCTTTTTCATTCATAATTGCTTGGCTGTGCTTTCATCCTTTATAGCTTCAACAGGTGTTTTGACTTCTCTCCTATTTTCACTGTACCAGAGGTAAAGAGACTTATTTGTAGCATACAACACCAAAATCTACCATTGCCTTTATTGTGTAGATTATTGTTAGTCAATCAGATGATGCCTCCTTTAGCATCTGCTTTTTTTCAGTGGTTTCTCACCCCATGAGTTGTTTCAGACAGCAACTTGATCATAGCCATCAACTTCCATTAGACAGTGTCACTGGGACACCAGGTCACAATAGAACACTTTGCTTAGTAGAGTAGCATTGTCGGGTTTTTGCAGTTAAGTGCCTTCCCTCTTACCTTTATTTCAAAGATATATTTGCTAGTTTTTACCCATATGTGAGATGCACAGAAAAAGTGGTTAAGAAAGCGATGTACCTTGCTCGCTTGTAGCCATTGTTCCTTGAGTGTTCATCTGTGTCTTGAGCCCTTTTACTCTGTGGCTTTTGCATTTGGAATCTGTATTTTTCATTGTGTTGGTCAGTTTCATTGAACTGTGGGATAGCGTACAGGAGCATGTGCTGTAGACAGGAGGGGGCACTGCTACCTTTAACATTTGCCAGATCTAGAAGGTTCCAAAGCAGGGCTCTGTGCAAGCAGTGATCTCTAAATGTGACTGCAGAGGAGATCACTCAGAAAACAGTAGTGACAGGTAAGTTAACATTTTTACACTTTTCATTTCCCCAAGAGAATTTCTCTTTCAGAAACATTTACATTGTAAAATCACAATATTTGAGAGGAGGGTTAGAATTACTTACAAATTCACTTAGCGTGAAAAAGAATGGAAATTCTGCCTTAAGATGACCATCTGAATTTCATATGGCTGTGTTTATTTTATCTTCATGTTCTTTTCTTATGTTTCAGTTAACAATACCTGTCTCAGACCCATTAGCAAAAATGGAAAGCTGCTCTGTCCAGGTAACATTATATGGTAATCTTATAAATCCCTTGCACCTTACTTTCTGTATCCTTAGGGCTGTATTCCTTATTGGTCAGAATCTTCTTGCTTATATATATATATCCTCCATGCTATTTTAACATATACATGAAATCACTGGCACATGTTATCCAGAGTTTTGGGGATGACATACAACTCTGTTTCTCCCTTTCTGTCAAGTTTTAAGGACACTGTTTGGTTTTAAACCAATGCCTGGTATTAGTAATGGATTGGATGAGGTCAGAACACACTGAAGCTTATTCCAGAAAAGAAAGAGGTGTTACTGGTTAGTTAGAAGGGAGTAAGGATTGCCCAGTTCACAGGTTGGGTGTGCTCCTGGATTCATCCCTGAACCTGAATGTCTAGATCTTGACACTGAAATAAAATAGTGCCATGTGGTCATTACAAAATACAAGAATAGGCGACATCTTTATAGACCACTTTTTTAAAATCATCGTATAATCTGCTAACTTTTGTGGATCAGGACATCAGGCACGTACCATTTTGAAGAATTTAAAATCCAAAAGTTCATAGCAAGATGGATTTTGCCAGGAAGGTTACTCTTAGATGTAAAGGCCAGAAGTTTTTGGCAGGATGGATTTTGCCGGGCATGTCTTTCTTAGATGTAAGTCAGGAAAGATGCAGGCTGCTTTTAGGCTGTTTTTTTTTTTAAGTTACAGCTGAGGCAGTTGTGGATTGGATATCACATGGTGGCCGAGATGCTTTTGTACAATTAAAACTAGTGCACCAGCTGCGCCCATCATAGTGATGCATGCCTTAGTTACATCTTGCTTGGACTGCTGCAATGTACTCGGGGCCCCTGGAGCTTGGAACGTGACTGGTGGTTAATGCATGATGAATTTGGTGGTGGATTGTATGAGCTCTTATTTAAGGGTGCAGAGATAAACATACACCATATATAATTCAGGAGCCAGACAATCTCAATACATAGCTATTCTACAGATGCCAGCTCCAAACAAAATCTTTTCCAAGCATGTGGTGTGTTCATATTTATGTATATGCTTGGCTCATAATTAAAAATAGTTATGCGACATCAGGTAGATTCTAGCTAACAGTGACCCTTGCCATGGCTTCCTAGATATAAAGTTCTCAGAAGTGGTTTATTATTCTGGGGGCAGTGTTCTGAGACTATGCAGCTCACCCATGACCACACAGTCTGACTCTTCTCCTGGGAGGCTTTGTGGAGAATCAGACTCCTGATCCCTGGCTCCGTAGCCAGGTACTCAAGTTCACTGAACTATCTAGCCAGTTAGCCCATGAATACAGTTCATGTAGTAGCACCTTTTTTGCTTTCTTTCCTCCACTTTCTTAAGTTAGAATTTTATTTTTATATATACAGTACATGGCATTACTATGCATGTAAAGTCCAATTAACAGTGGCATGTTTAGTAACCTGATCTTTCTAATCTATATTAGTGCAAATGCATTTTGGGGTTTCTTTTCCACAGCTTTTTAAATAAACAAAATATTTGTTTTCTGGATTCCCTAAGTGCCAGAGGATTATACTGTTAAAGAAACAGAACTGAAAATGGGAAGCTTGCTAGGACTCTGCCCTGGAAGAGCTCCAACATCCATCCAGGTAAAATAAGCAAACTCAGATTTCTTTTTTTTTTAATTTTCTTTTTGTTAATTCTAATGCCTTTTTTGTTGTTGTTTTTCATGTACTGGCATAACAGCAATAATTACGTGCCATCACGCTGCTTCTGATTTAAGGTAGCTCTCCTAGGCTTTGATGGTGATGATAATGTGCAATCAAGTCAGTTCTGACGTTTGGCGAACCTTTCCAGGGTTTTCTAGGTATAGAATACTCAGAAATGGTTTACCAGCCATTCCCTTCTTCTGAGAGCACCCTGGGACTGTGTAGCTTGCCCAAGGCTTCACAGGCTAGCTCTAGTCCTGGGAGAAACAGTGGGGAACTGAACTCTCAATCTGTGGCTGCACAGCCCAGATACCTTACTCACAGAGTTATTCTGACAGCTTTCTAGTCATCAAATGGTTGGACGTGATATGTCAGGGCCATCTTCTGGTGGTGCTGTAAAACTGTGCTGCTTGTTGAAGCTTGCACAGCTGACATCGGCTACATGTAGTCAGCTGGCTCCTCTCCCAGGGGACACAATGGAGATTCAAACTTCTGTGCCAGGTGCTCCAACCCATTGTGCTGTGCCAGCTCCCAGCTGGCGTATTGAAATATAACATAATGTAATGTACTTTTAAAAGACTTGATAAGTAACTTACTTGTCTGTCTACTACAACAACTTCTGTTAAATCCTTGCCCAATCCACATTTTCTTAGTCTTCCATCAAAATCAACAACAATCTCATGATTAACCACGGCTTACTAGGGCTGAAACTCTGTTGATATAGTTGCAGTTGTGGAGGAGTGGTAACCTATCAGTGACAGAAAATGGCTGCTGCTGGATTATTCAGTAATGAAGGATTTCCCGCTTATCCTCACAGCTTTTCTGACCTGCAAACAATCCTTTTTCAATCACACAGAAGTTGTGGGACAAGAAAACAAAGTCTTTCATTACTGAAAATCTCACATTTCCTTTAACAATCCAGCAGCAGCAAATTTATTTCTGAAAGACCTCCTATTAAACATAGGAAGAAATTAACCTGCCTTATAATGTTAGCATTGTGACTTTTGATGGACATCATGTCCTCATTGTCTACAGAAAAAAATGATTCCCAATCTACTACTGGAGATCCTTTTAACTAAAGATGCTGCATGTAGAACTTGGAACTTTTTGAATATAAATTCACCACAGAACTAAGGGCCTTTCAAACTATACATACTGTACAGTACAATAGTACGGACATATGTGCTTTCAGTCTTAAACCTTCATCTTAATTTAATGCAGTATTCCATAAATTCAGGTATTCATACTTCATACACAGAATTAGATATTTGCATGATCTGGGCTGGGCCAAGTTGCATGATCCCTGGATAGTCAAATGGGGAAGTTTTATTAATGAGAAAACTGCTGTTCTCCTCTCAGGCTTTTGGCTACTGAGGTGGCATAGATGAGGTCACTCAGCAGCATCCCAGAACATGAGACCAGGGACATGGGCTTGAAATGTCACATGTGGGGCAAGCAAGGTTGGCAGGAGACACAACTATTTCTGGTCAGTTGGTTGTGGAAACAAGTATGAGGGGAATCCATGTAAATATGTCCACAATCCAGATAAAATACAGCTAATAAGATAAAGTGACAATTCAGTGCTAGAGAGGAAAGTCCATTCCTGGCAGTCTCCAACCTTTTTGGGACCGTGGACCGGTTGGGGGGCAGGCTCCATTCATAGGGGATGGGGACACTCCTGTGTTGCGCAAGGGGCGTGTTGTGATGTACTTGTGCAGGGGGCATGTTGCGCTCACGCAGGGGCACGTGGCTTTTCACTGCACTGAGATTTTGCTAACACAACACAAACCAAAACACCTTTGTGCCAAATCAGGGAGCCCTCGTGCCATTTGGGAATCAATAGAGGTGAGTGCACAAGATTTGCCTCCACTTCAGACAGAAAATCAAACTTTCTCCTCTAGCACCACTCATCTTGAGATTTGTGTCCCTGCCTGGAGAAGCAGGAAAGCACAGCAATTCCTGTTGGGTATTCTGCAACTTAGTGACCCTATGTACCTAGAACAAACTTAACGAAGGAGCTAGTGGTTTGCACGGCTTCATTTGCAAAGTTTCCATGTTGAATTATTAGTACACAAAGTGGTTTGGTGAGTAATCCTGTACAGATCTATTCAGAAGTAAGCCCCATTGAAATTAGTGAGGCTCACTCCTGTTTTAATGCATATAGAATTGTGCTTGATCTGACATTATCTGTGGCCCCTCACATGCTGTTGGACTCCTCTAATTCTCCCAGTCCATTGTTCTTGCTGGTGAGTTTTGGAATTAATGGGATGTCCCAACATTTAGTGTACTGACACCTAACTCAAGCTCTGTGATGGGTGAAAACAAAAGTTGAAAACCTGATGTACTGTTTTTCTCCCAGATATTTTTGTATTATATTGTGGGCCATGATCTTCAGTCTGGTCTGGAGGAAGAGATAGTAGTGGAGGAGACTGCCACTGTAAGAAAGGTAAATACAAGACCTTTAAAAACATTTGCTGTTTACAAATTTCAGAATTATACCACCATGTTATATTACTGGCTCTTTAGGCGGGCCTTCCCTCCTGTCAACAACTGATTTATTGTCATCTTCAATTGTATTAATGTTGTTGTTTTATTTTATTTTATTGGATTGTTGTTAGCTGCCCAGAGTAGACTTCAGTCTAGGTGGGTGGGGTAAAATTAAATAAATAAAAAAAAATAAAATACTTAGATGCCACATTAAAAGTGAATGTCCCAACCTGGAAAAGCAAATTAGCCTCACTCTGAGATGAAAATGTAATATGAAGTAGTGGGAATGTTTGATTATTTACTAATGTTTTATCCTTTGTAACAGAAAATAAATAAATCATTATAAATAAAATAGTAACAAACATAGGAGTATGAATACATGGCACATTTACATGTCTGTTAAAGGCTTTAAGAAATGAAGAATAAAATACTAGATGCTGGGTCAGATCCAGACGTCACCTTTTGCATACAGAAGACTTTGATCCAATAGCAGGATCTGACTGGGAAAAGAAGGGAAGGTTCTCTAGCCAGTTCTCTCCTTCTCCTACAGCTGGCAGAACCACCTTCAACATTGGTTCAGAGCTTTGCAAGAGCAATCTGCAAACGTCGTTTCACATGGTGTGGCAGTGAAGCCCGCATCTAAGGCATCACCTTTTAATGTCCCAAAGTGGTTTGTTTTTTTAAAACAATTAAAATTACATTTTAATCAAAATCTGGGTCTTTGTTTTAAAAAGGAAATATACTTTCCAAGAAAGCATCTATACAAGCACCTACTTTTTTTTTTAACTTTCAAATTTACTCATGGTCAAATGAGACACTAAAGGTTATATGCCTTCCTTTTCCTTGATTTTTCCTCCCAACAGAAGGATTTCAGTATTTTTTCCAGAAATGTGTTCTTGATTTAATTTTCCAATGACTAGTTACAAAACAAAGCAAACAAAATACATGATATTTATTTATATGATTTTTATCTTGTTTTTCTCCCATACTTGGGACTCAAGGTGGCATACATTTTTTTAAACTACAATTAGTTAAAACAAATTAAGATTTAAAACTATAATATACTGTATAATTAAAACTTTATTTAAAAACTAACTTTTTAAAAAAGACATTTGCATCTCAGTTGCCTTCTGACTCCCTAAAAGCCTCTAAAGAGGTACATTTTCAGCTGCCAGTGGAGGGAAAAGAGAGAAGGGGCCAACTATACTTCCTGAGACAGGGAGTTCAATAATCTGAGAGCAACCACAGAAAAAGCCTTCTCTTGGGCCTTGCCAGACATAGTTGTGAGAGCAGTGAGACCAAAAGAGGCAATCCATGAGGGTTGTAATACGTAGATGAGGAAGATCTTATACTTGGAAGAGCAGATGTTTTACATCTCCTAAAAACATGTCAAAACTAAGTTGGTCTAAGTTGGTTCTCAGTTACTGATTCATTTACCCATGAATTACTTTAAAGGCAGATGGGTAATGGCTATTTTGGAAAAATATACTATTCCTTTCTGAATCAAATTGTTGTAGAATATCATCCTAAAATATTTAAAAATTTAAGAAGGCTTGATACATTAACAACTATTTTAAAAATATTTTAAAATTGGTTTTATTCTTGATTTTAATCTTGATATATGTTTAATTATTTTATATGGTGTTTTAAAACTGTTGATTACTGTATAGTTTTAGCTGCCTATAGTTGTGAGCTGCCTTGGGTCTCCATCGAGAAAGTTGGCATATAAATAACACAAATAAATAAAAATAATAATAATCATTTATGTGACAGTGCTGGACATCAGTGTCAATCAGACTTTTGTTGAGGAAATCATCATTGCCAAGGGGAAATGGTAGTTCTTTGGATTTTGATGTATCACCTAGGGATTGTTGCCTTCTAAGAATAGAGAAATATTCATCTTTACCAGTCTTTCTCTTCACCTTCCTTGTAGTGGCAAAAGCATCACCTATTAGTCTAATGAGCAGTGCAATAAATCTTACATGACATACAGTGGTGCCTCGCAAGATGATTGCCTCGTGGGACAATTAATCCGCAAGATGATTGGTTTTTGCGATTGCTGTTGCGTGTCGCAATTTATGTTTTCTATGGACGATTTTCGCAAGTCATTTCAATGCATTCCAATGGGGAACCACGTTCCATAAGACGATGTTTTCTATGGATGATTTTCGCAAGACTACGATTTTTCCATTGGAACACATTAAATAGATTTCAGTGCATTCCAATGGGGAACCACGTTTTGCAAGACAATGTTTTTGCAAGACAGCATTTTTCGCGGAACGAATTAACATCGTCTTGCGAGGCACCACTGTATATACACACACACACACTTTAATTATTATATATTATATATTGTATATAATACAATAATTTGTTTTCTGAAATGAATATTGCCAGCATATTTATTTATTTTATTTATTTATTTATTTTATTTCTATCCCACCTATCTGATCATATTAGACCACTCTAGGCGGCTTACAGTAAAAACAACAATGTAATTTTAAGACTTTACAGCAGAAACGTAAATAAAAAAAATAAAGAGCAGAATAAGAAAAAAAAAAAAAGATCGTCAAGGGTTTTCTGTTGGGAAGGCCCGCTTATACATCAATGTTTTTAGTTGTTTCTTAAAAATGCCCAGCGAGGGAGCCGCGCGAATCTCAGGGGGCAAGTTGTTCCAAAGGCGAGGAGCCACCGCCGAGAAGGCCCGG